AAGAGTGTCCCACAAGAGTGTCCTACAAGAGTGTCGTTTGGACATATGTAGTTTTTCGAACGTATTTGCATTCGGGTTCGTGGGTTCCATCTTGTTTTCCCAGGCATGTTCTGGTAAATCTGGAATGTGGGTAATTTGCAATTAGTCAATAAATCGCTTGACCAAATTGAACGTTCTTCCTTTGCGAAATTACACATGTTTGAAGGCTTCACTACAAGACCTGAATCAAACCTCCCCAATGCCAGCCCCACCAGGAGGTTGACCCACTCATGTTTGAAGCGGCAGTCACAAGGACGTCCTTCGATATTTCCAGTCTCATGGCGGGTTCCCACTCCTCATCACAGCGAATCCTCGCGTCACCGAAGGAGAAATCCCGACTTTACCACACCAAGCTCTTGGCTGAGCATGTGGCTGCATCCATCCCCGGAACCCAGGCCGGACACGGAAAAATAGACGCGAAAAACACATCGGTGAGACCGGTGTGACGTGATGACCGGTGTGACGTGATGGCAGGAGGTAAGAGGTGACACAATGTGAAGGTTTATTTTGTTTTCTATGACTTTTCCACATGATCAACTCGGCAGTGTACTTCTTTCAAGTGGAAGTCAACCAATGTTCCAGTTTCTTGGCATGTGAGTTGCCGCAAGAAGCCTTTCCCTGATCTTTCCAATCAATCAGTGCGCCAGCAATAGACAGGAAAAAGAGCAAGCAAACATACCACATATACACATCTTAGAAGGATCAATCAAACAACATCTTGTTACCTGGGGCACTCCAAGCTGCCATCATCAGCCTTAAGTCGCTTCGAAGCAGCTCCTTAGGTTTCAGTTTCTTGGATGGCTTTCTTCTCCTAAGGCCCCCCCATACTTGTAGTGCTCAGTAGTGGAGGATCCATGATACCCAAAGGCTAAGGAGAGGTGAACTGATGTGCAGAGGAGCATCCTTGAGAGTCGTGTTCCGATTCGTTCTGTTTAAGGCGAATGACGCAGAGTCACCTGCAGACGAGTTGCCAGAGGTCAGACTGAGGTTAAGGCACAATGAGGCTCAGGTGCCCCGGATTGGGAACCAACAGCTGGGAAGGGGACGAGGTTTTGCATCCCTGGAGTGGTCACAACAGGTGAGTTGCTTTGCGATGAGTTTGCTTCAAGTTTTTTTTGTATTTTTTGCTCCGGCGTGACGAGGCAGTGAATTTGTGGGAGTGCAGATACGTTTTCAATCCATCCCCTTCCCATCCGTCTTATGGGTGGTTGCTGTCTCACAGTTTCTTCACTGTCAACGTTTTTAAGGGTTCTTCTGGATTATGAGGATCATCAGGATGTTATTGTTTGTTGCGTCACAGAGCGCGACCGTGGAGTCTTTCAGGTTAAAGAGATAATTCTTTTTTGTTCAGCCTTTCCGTGTGAATAGTCTGAGAATTGGAGTATCTCACATCAATTTTATGGATTGAATCCGGCCAGCCTGATTTCTTTGGCCTTGGTGTCATCCCTCTCGCCTAACCCCATGACCAATCTTGCAAGGACTTTCGGTGTATATATATATATAACGGTTCTCCTGCCTTGCCGTTCCACGGGTCTCTGTCTTACGACCAGGTCAGTGTGGCAGCCTCGGGGCTTTTGCACAAGCGCGGTGCTCGCAAGGCCCAAGACGCGACGAAAATGGGGGGGATCTGAGATGGCTGCTGCTAAAAGTTGAGTTCTTGGAGTCAAGGCAGATCGGTCGATCTCGGGGTCTTGATCGAGGCCGAAGAATTCAAGTCATGATTGACTGATTCATATGTGATGGCCACGCAGTTCCTGGGTTTGGGTGTTGACTAGCAGGAGTTCATATGGATGTGCACTTAGAATTGAGAACCAATGGTTGTGTGTTCTTTCTATATATATATATATAGAATGGGTTAAAGCCCTGGTGGCGGCTCCCTTTTTGTAGAGAAGGTGCTGCACGGCTGCATGCCACATGACAGCTCGGAGTTCCGCCGCGGCGCCAGCCACCCCGCAAAAGGGCTCAGCTGAGTATGATTCGGATGGCAAATGCCAGCTTTGAGAGTCACGAATGTGATGCATGGCAGGCCCCATGATAGCTTGGAAGCCTTGCGAAAGCCATCCACCGAAACCCTCCGCCTAAGTTGCTGCTTTCAGTAATTATCTCAGTCGCCGCCCTGCCTGGGTGTAGGCTAGGCCTGCGTAAGCGGATAAAAGGCCTTGGGGGTTTCCCTATTCAGATGCACACCCATTCCAGGATTGATTTGAACACGACGTTGCAAGTGCTATGAGGTCTTGGGATGTTGGTAGGGGCGTGTAGGTTTATTCTCCCTTTGATTGGACGTGGAGCTTGCAGATCACCCAGCACCTGCATACATGATTCACAAGACACCTAATGACCTAATGAAACTTTCAATCATCATTGGCCCTCGATGAAGGTGTGTACAGCTGCTTCATTTTGGACACTACTGTAACGTATCCATTGTGGCAGATACCAAGTGAATTTGTGACACGTTCGTGCAACTTTAGAACTACATTCTTGGGCCTGGTGGTTTTGCCATGATGGTCATTGGCAGAAGCCAGTGGATCATTCAGTTTTTATTGGTTGGTACCGACCTTGACTTAACAAAATGATATTCAACATGCGCGCACCGCCGCAAACGCCTTGATACATGCTGGTTACATGCTGGCAAAGATCTGGTTTCTAACCCTGCATGAACACCAGGACGAGGCCCTTGCTCCATGGCCCTCAAAGCCACGCTGGCGAGGCAGTGGGTGAAGCTTCCATGCGGGAGACCTTGGCCGCAGCTTGCGTGGCTCGGCGTGGAGAATGGGATAGACCGTCATTGCCTTTGCTTACAAGGTCCCAGGTTCATATGAACAGAACAGAAGGAAAGACTGTGAAAAAGGTCAGGCGACTGTGTTTTGGTGTGATCTCTCATTGATAATACCTTTTCCTTTCCTCATTGAACATACTTCCTTTCCCCAACGAACCTCCAGCAGATACTGAGGCACTGCTCCGTTTCCTTTGTTCACCGAACAGAACCACTTGGACAAACCGCTGCTGGATTACCGGATGGTCCCTTTGAAAAGTACTTCCCGTGAGGAATCGCACATCGCCATTGAAGCACAGGGATTTCAGCCCTCCACAGCCCTCTCTTTCTTGCGAAACCGCGGAGACCGCGTCCTCCGTGCTCCGCAGGTCTTGGCGTCTCCGTTGCAGCGGCGGCTGACGCAAGCGGCGCATCAGGGTGAGGAACTCGTGTTCTGGGATCCCTTTTGCGGCTCGGGAGCCGCCCAGTTGCACATGATCCGCAGCGAGATCGGGACGGATTGGCCTTCTTTTTTGGGGAAGGCCTGGAGAGTGGTAAGGGTTTGGGTCTCAGAAGATATTACGCTTTGATATGCTTTGGGCGACCTTTCTAGGACGAACGCGTGTTCAGTTTCGCCAGAGGGAATGGCCAAAACATGTGGTCCACGGGCGAATTCTTGGAGTGAATTGGTGGAGGTGCCAGATCATTCCACCCATCCACACCCATCCAGCCCATCCATTCTATTCAACGGTGTGGCTGAAGACTATGCAAATCCACCTAGCTGCAGACAGTCTTCATAGTCTTGACAGGTGGCTTTATAATGTCGGTAGTGTCAACGAGCTTAAGCAAACTTGCTGGTGGGTGGCTTAAAGGAACTGCACTAAATGGGCTTTGTGCGGAATGTTGCATGTTCGACTGGCTTCGTTTTCTTACCCTTGAGCGTCTGGCATTGTGTCAGAGCAACAATGCCATACGATGGATGGTTGTAGTTCTAATGTTGCAAAATGATCTATCGAGGAGGTGCGCACCTAAACTGGAAGTTCAACAGTTGCAGCCTGCACTGCTGGTTTAATGTGTGGTTTCAAGCCCTCCTACTTCTTGGCTAAGCTACCCGCAAAAACGCAACATGTCTTTCTCTATCTGAAGGCTAACATGTTTCATGAGAAGCAAGTTGGAACATCGACAAACTGCAACCGGTGGTGCGGCCCCAGTGCTCCAAGAACCTGCCCTTGAGACGGGTTTACTGTGTTGCTGAGGCAATCTTGCTGGAGGCTTTGGAGGTGGTGCTTGGCCAACCAACGGGGAACCATTCGAAGTCCTACCCCTTCAAGTCCTTTCCATGTCATGATGCCGAGGACTGACTTCCCTACACTCTCGCAAAGGGCGTTGTTTTTGCCATCTCTGATTTTGCCCGCCGCTGTCGAAGCGGTGCCGTCGCCATCACGACGTGGAGGGTCATGAAAAAAAAACGCTTCCTGGGAAGTTGGATCGTTTTTTCCCATTTCGGTTCAACCACCATCCCCCCTCCATGAACCGGTTCTCTTTCGGTTCAACCGAACGCTTCGGATTGGGAGAGAAGACTGGACGGAACGGTTGGTTTTGTTTTTCTACCTTGGGTGGTTTTTGTATAAGAGGATCGTAATTATCCCAAGTCATCCTCACAAAGTGCTGTCGGCTTTTTCACACGAAACTAAAATGTGTTGCAATATGTTGCAATCCTGGAAAGTAATCTCCAGCAGACGATCCAACTCAGTCAGTTTGGGTTTGCAACAGTCACATATGTCAAACTAGTGCACTGTGCGGGCATGCTTGTTGCCGTTCTGCACCTCAGATATTCTTGGCGCTAAACAGGTTCATTCCGATTTCCCAAGTCAAGTGGACGCCCCCCCGACCGTCAAGCATTCACAACATGATTTTTGGATCCAGTCCTCCCCCTCAAAAAGCCCACAACGCTCGCGAAGGACTTCAACCAGCCCCCAAACATCCTCCGAATCGTTCAAGACTTAAAGACCAAGAAAGAAGAAATGACATGTAGAAAACAGTAGAACACCCTTCTTGTTCACAAATCAAAACAACTAAAGAACCGGCAGAACCGGCCGCTGCATCGCCCCAGGACTTCGAGCGCGTGGCGCGGGAGCTCGAGCCGACGCCTCATGGAGCCCTCGGAGCCTTGACGCTGCTTGAAGCAGTTGGGTTCGGTGGTTTCGCGGTGGGTTCGGTGGCTGAATGAAAGCATCCAACAGTGGATGGCTTAAAACATCATGTGTCATTATACTATATTGTTATAGTACGAAAGAAAGCAGGATATATATATATATATGTACAGATATACAGTATAACATCTAAAGAACACATATACATGCTTACTTATATGCAAACAATAGGGTTTTGTATACCATTTGTCATGTTGATTTTGATTCCAGGGAGACTGGTGCCGTGTGCCGGTGTGCCGTTGTGAAGGGGGGGCCCTGATGATGGTACGTAAGCTTTGTCTGAAACACCCGGGAAAGGATGAAACTGAGAGCATCGAAACCAGCAGAAGTCACATTGGGGTCGGTGAGTCCTGGATCTGCAATTCTACTACAACATAGAGACACAAGCTTTACTGCCATTTGCTGTTCGAAGCCACGGATGGAACACCTGGCCGTGACCGTTGAGGTTGCTCAGCAGTGACCAGTCCGAGGTGGGAAGGGGTTGCTTGTTGCGTCGCTTCCAGGCGCCGAAGTCGGGAGGTGTTGCGTCGCTTACATGTGTTGGGACTCTATGTGAAGTATGTGTCGGTAAACGGTAGGTTGTCCATGAAAAACAGGTCGGAAGACGGTAGGTAGCACATGGTTGCACAAGATGATCAGGGGTTCTTCAGCTTTCTTGTGGATGATCTTTTCCTTTGATGGCTAGATTTGGATGCCGGAAAGCCTTGGTGTTTGGGACCTGCGCAGTAGGAACCAAGGCTCTAAGTCCGTGAACTCTCAGCTCTCTTCACCCCACGGCGAGGAGCAGATCCAACGGGCGAGGCAAAACCTGCGGCGCTGCCTGCGGCGTTTGAACGTGCTTCGCGAGTCGCGCGAGTTCTCGGCCAAGGCGACGCGAGTTGGAATCGTCATAAAGAATTTCTTGGAACATGTAACCAGTACAGTACAGCCAGGATTCTTGCCTTATTAAAATCCATTTGCAGGGCTCATGTGTGTGCCTGGAGATCTATTTTTCGAGTGTCGCACCGTTTGTGGGTTTCCCACGCCCCAGGCTTCAGTGGAAGAGCTGTTGGAAGCTTTGCCCTGCCGTGTGCAACTTCTGCAAGGCAACTTCTCGAAGGTCTTGCAGCGGCTCCAAGGTGCCTGGTGGGCAGAAAGAGGATGAATGAAACAGGCAGAATAAATTGATTCTATATACCATACTACACCCTAACTATTTCAGTATATTTCAGTAGTGATTACCTTTTCTTTTAAACGGGGGGATTCTTGGGGGGACGCTGCGGTACGAGGAGAATCATTCAAGGTTATGAAGATGGTGAAGATGATGATGACGATGACGACGATGATGCTTGCCGAGGTGTTGGCAGGGGTAGATATCGTCGATTGATTGATTTGGGATTGATGGAAGAAGTGATGGTAGGGTTTTCTCTTTGTGATGTTTGCTGAGTTGGGCCAGGGGTTTCAACTGCAACGTAACCATGTAAACAGACATGGTTGGGCCATTCTCGAGACCTTTTGTAACTTCTGAGTCCACTCTCAGAACCCTCGAATGAAATACCCGAAAATGGACACAACAAGAGCAGCCCACAACTGTGAAACCAAAGATGGTTTGCAAGGCTTCGGGCAAACCAACCGTTTCTGTCAAGGGAAACCTTGACTTTCAGGGTCACAGGCAAAGGAAGACTGGCCGCTGGCCGGCCCTTAAAACATCTTCGGAGCGCCTTCCCAGGCCGGCCGACCATGCAGCTTGGGCGCAGCTGTTGAGGGCAGAGTAGTCGAAGCCGCTGAAAGCTGTTCCCACAAAAGGTGCAGGTGATAGAACTGATTGCTCACAGGAAGTACATAGCTTGGGCCACTCCGTTCCTTCGTGCGAGTTTCATCCAAGTATGCAATACTCCACGCTTTTCAATTGAACAGTAGTTGCTATAAAGTTCCTAAAGTTCCAAAAGTTCTCAACAGGTCACAACTACAGTATTCCATCTTGGTCTCTTGGTCAGACTGGCATGAGTTCTCTCCAAGACACGCACCTTGGCTTGGTGAATACATGTTCCGCACCAGTTGTAGCACTTCGCTATTGGGAATGAGACGCGTGGCTGAATGAGACATCCCGGGCCAAATGGGTGTAACATGGCACCCTAAACCCTGTGCCATCCCCAAGAACCAGGACTAAGAGGGCCAAATTGGGGTGTAACATGCGCACCCCGGTGTAACATGCGCATGCAAACATGTGCATGCGATGCGGGGGAAGCTACAGGTCAAACCAAGAAATCTCAGCTATGATGATGATGTTTTTGTTCCAGGCCACCGTCGGCCGTCGGATGTACACGTATCACCTTGCTGGCATGACCATGTGGCACTCGGTTTCACCTTTTGGACACCCTGTATCTCAAGGACCACTGCAGCACTGCTGATTCTGTGGACTGAGGATCGTGACGAATGTGCCCTTCGGCCTTGAGAGCGGGGGCAAGCAGGAGCATCCCATTCGTGACTAAGCAAGACTAAGCTGTCATGCCTGAGGCACTGCAGTAGACTATATGCGAGCGGCATAGGCCACGTGATGACAGCAATGATATTTATGATAGTTGCACAGCGAAAGATGGATGACAACGACAAGACACGATAGAGCAATCGTATTTCCTGGGCTAAACGTGCTCTATGCATGCTTGCGACATCTCTGAGGAGTTACATTGGGAATGTTTGTTTTTGCTCGACTCCTCCCACCCCTTTGTAAAGAAGATCTCAGGCTTCTGCTTGCATCTACTTTTGCCTCTGCGATTTTCAAACCTCCCAGTGGGTTGCGAACGTGCCCAGCTCCCAGCAGTTCCGCCCAGCTCCACGGTCCAGGATTTGGAGGCAGGGCTACCTGGTGCGAGTGAGACTTATAGCCAGTCAGGGTGGCCCAGAGGGATCAGCTCGACCAGGGAACTAAGGCGAGCAGACACAAGAGTGGCATATGTTTGTTTGATTGTGTTTGAGCATGCCGGAAGTTCGAGTGTTGGTGGCTTTCCGAACCACCTTGATGCCAGGATTGTACCAGGAGATACACCTGCCGGTCCTGATGGATGTAGCCGTAAGAAATCTAAACGCATGCCATACGACTCCATTGTCCATGGGCCAGACACCTCCTTCTCGGTTCGATCCTTGTTCATGAACCAGCTCCAGCACCATCTGGCAACTTCAGACAATCGCATGCAATCAAACCCCTGTTCTTGAAGATCCTATCTATAATGCAGGAGCAACACAGTGCCATGTGAACAATGGGGTCTTGAGGGCTATTAGTATGGCCACACACCTGGCAGCGGCCGGGGTGCGGCCTGGGTTGAGCGACTTGGTTCCCATCAACTCTCATCAAATCAGCAACAAAGTGTAATGTATAATTCCACAATGATGTAACATTGCACAAACCATAGCCACTGCCCAACGTATATGAGTCATGGAAAAGTTTATTCGGTGTACATTTGGGCTTGGGCAGACTATAGATGATAGACCGCCCAACATCTTCCAATAACATCCGGTTGGCTCCCGCTGACTGGTTTTGCATCGGTGCTTTCAGGCTTGGCCGGGTGCTTCGCCAGCAGCGCGCCGAGTGGCGAGGCGTCTACTGCCACCTGGAGAAGACTCATTGTGAACGGGAATGGCCAGGGGCCTGCTAAAATGGTGCTTGGGTTGGTTGGTGACAAGTTATAACAAATCAATCCATATCAACACTAATCAGATTTGCAGGGATTGCATTGTTTGTAGAAATAAACGCCAGAGTTGGAACTGGAATGCTCTTCAGACAGAAACAGCTCAGCTTGTGGAATCCTAGTGGTGAATTGGTATCATTTGGCTCTCCAGGTGCGGAGGATCACGGCTCCTCCTCTGAGGCCTTACGGCTTTTCCCGAGGCCTTCCGCACTCACACAGGCCCGGGGGGGACTGGATCGGCATGGGTTGGCTGGCTGTGGCAGGTCCTGTTGGGTGCACTGGTTGAAAGCTGCAACGTTAGGCTCGGGAGATTTACCGCAACATGTTTTTGCAGCTTTCAGTTCTTGTTTTTGAGTGCTTTGCATCGTGACATTTCAACCATGTTAGTCAGAATCCTTAGTTTCATCAAACTTGGCTGCACACAATCCCCCAGCACAGGATGGTGTCCGCGATTGAACAAGGTGGCCCTTTTTCTAAGGGTGTTCCCTGCTGATTCCAGCAATGAGCAGTCAGTTCTTCTCTCGTTGCATGGCAAACCATGTGGTATTTTCAGTCTCCGAGAACTGTTTCTGTTTCATCTCAAGGCAAGTCCTCGGAGAACCGGCTGGGGTGTACTCTCGGAAGACAGGAATAAATGTGGTGAAAGACTGCTAGAGATTTGTGGGGTCTTGCGCCACTTGCCCTTCTTGCCTTCTGAAGACCTCTTGTTTCTTTCCACGTTCATCGAGGCCTCGAGTGGAGCAGTGAGCTTCGTTTCCTCAACGGTCGTCGTTGGGTCGACTTACTCACCTGGACCGGCGACGCACGCGATTCAGCGCGGCCGCACGAGTCCCGCGGGGGCGGCCGCAGAACTCGCGGGCGAGGATGAAAAGGAGGATGCTTGACATTGCTTGACATGTGGCAATGGTCCTGGGTCATTTACTATTGAACCATACATTAAAACAAAAAGAGGGGGAAAGAAAGGAGGTCAGCCTCGAATAAGGCCTTAAAGGGGCGGCCTTACCTTTGCTTCTTCCATGCTCTGGGTGTGTCAAGGGGGGCCTAGGGAGACCGGCCCGATGGCCCAATGGATCGGTGTGTCTCCCTCTACGAGCACCTGGAGACCTCCAAAAACACCCCTCCCTTCTGGCTTCGCGAAGAGGACGTGTGCACAACCGGTGAACTTCCTGGTCACAACCGTTGAGTCACAACCAGTCCATTGAAGGTTCTTGGAACATGCTTAAGAACGTACATTTCGGCCACGATCCAGGTATCCGGAAGTGCCACGATCCAGTTTTCAACCAAGATTCCTAGCTAGTTAGCAACAACACAACTGGAGCGACGGCGTGGTTTGGGCCAACGGGCAAACGATGTTTCCACCTTTGGATGACTGACCCCACAGTGGAGCAGGAACGGTACCCTGGATCGAACGGAAACGGCATCGGGTCATGTTAGAACGTGCTCGTCTGCATGTTCTTGCGGGCGAATTGATAGGTTCATCAAGAACAAACACAACATAGATAATCATGCAGTACATGTTCACAATGTATAGATGAAGATGTTGCACATTCAGAAGCAAGACCTGGCTGCAAATCTTGCAGCCATTCGTTGGCATTTTTGGTATTGTAATGTATTGTATTTGTTCCCCATGTATAACGCATGTTTGTTTGTTTACAGAAGCACAGACCCAATGACCAGTCGATCCCGGATCTGCAAACCACATAGGTTTCTTCTCTTCGAAGAACCGCTCACCTACCTGATGAGCACATCCCAGCTAATGCGTCTGGCTAGAGCTTTGATCCCCCCGTCACAGGGCCAAACGAAAGGCATGATCTTGTTCGCAGCTGTCAAGCTGTACTGAACTGGAAACTGGATCAAGCCAGGCAATGGGAACCAATGGGAACCAGAGTGTTGGATTCGTCAAAGATTGGCAAGACACACCACAGGTTCCGAACTGGCAAGACACATGGACATCTGGACTTGATATACTCTTGGCTTGCACAGACCATTTTTCTTGCACTTGCCAACTGCAGTTTAGGTTGCACGAAGCAGGCCGAAGGAAGACAACCATCTACTAGAAACACAGGAAGGTCGAACCATCCTTGATCCACTTTTGGAGCGAAATTTGCCCCACATCGAGATGATCGTCCTCTATATATTGCATCAGCGCCGTCTGCAGGTTTCTTTGGCTGATTTGTGGCACCCGGAACTTGGCTGCCAAAGCAAAACAATCCGCAGCAAACAATCTCCAACAGTGGAACGCCAGCTGCGGGGTTGCACAGAAGTGGTATATCTGACCTGGCAGCTTAAATCAGCACTACAACAGACTTCATCCATCTTCCAAAAGCGACCTGTCCATTTTCATCGGCGCTTACTGTAGTTCCACCAGCTCTGACGTGTGTGGTGATTCGGTCTGTCCCAAACTGAGTGAACCAAGTGAGCCTAACGCACCCAACCTCAGCGTTCTGTGACACCTGCAGCTCGCGATGGCCAGACGTGCAGCTCGTGCAAGTTGGGGCCCCGACTGGGGGAGAGTCGGGCGTCAGTTGTGGGATCACCAGGACCACTAGCGCGTGTGAAAGGATGTGGCCGAGTTGATTTGGTTAAATATACATATATATAATATGTAACAATATATTACAAAACATATAACAAATAAATGTATAAATACAAACTATATATATACAGGTTTCATATAACTATTGCAAATCTTTTCGTGCATGGCAAGTTATGTCCTAATTTGAAGGATATAATTAGATATAAACTTAGAGGTGTACGTGGTCAAAGACAGGTTAGCCTTCATGGAGATTTCCAGAACTGTTGCTGAGCAATTCTATTTGATGCTACATATCACATGGAAGGCACGAACTTTTGCTAAGTGGAACAATTCCGAGGACACCATCTACTACTGTATTTTTTGATATTCTTTATTACAGGTGCCTGAGGGGAACATGGAGAACCTTTTTTCTGTTTGTTTTTCATTTATCGTCTTTATTCAGGCCGCCCTCCCCAGTCCAAGATCTCTGAGACATAGCGGTCCTTTAAGGAGATTGATATGTCTTCATGTGTTAAGCGATGCCCTTGTTACTAGTAGCGATGCCAGGAGCTACTAGTAGCGTTCTTGCTACTAGTAGCGTCGCCCTTTGTTCCTAGTAGGTTCTTGTTAAGCCCCCCAAACTTCCCTTGACCTGTTGGTTTGTCAAAAATCCTGTACAGCGTACAATGCATTGTTTCCTAGTGATCTTGATTTGCTATTCTCTTTTGACGAGCCTTCCTTTCGTAATCTTTGACTTGTTTCCTCGAGTATTATTGGACTCCTCTTGTGGTTCTTCAGGTGTTCCCATACACTATATATATATATAAATTGATTTGTTTCAGGCTGATTTAGCTGCTCCTATTGTTGATTGGTGCCAACTATTGTCCTCGAAGTGTATTTCAAGACATATTTGCATTCTAACAATCTTGATAAGTTGAATACCGCTAAGTTTTCTTGACCTGTATGTTATGTTCCACTACTTTTTTTATTAGTTCCACTATTGGTTTTTAAAGATACCATTTGAATAAGCATATCCAATCCAGTTGTTAGAAGGAACCATATCCTTATACCTCCAAGGATGCTTGCTTGATAACGTTTCGTTCCTGAGTGGAACTATCAACCTTATGAAGGAAGGAAATGAAGGATGTTCTCAAACGACCGATTCTCAAACTTGTTTTCTGTTGAAATTTGTTAGGACAGGATTTACTTTATCTATATAGATAGACTTAATAAAGGAATAGTTACAGTATGTAAGACTTTACACATCTCAGATGATCAAGTGCAACATCAAAAGAAAAACTTAAACGCACCTGCAAAATTGCCCTCTCTCTCTCTCTCCTCTCTCTCTCCATATATGTATATTGTAAGGGCTTCGCCCGGGTGCCGCCGACCCCTTTTCAAGAG